AAATGGACATGAAATGTTGTGGCTCCCAGCGTGGTTAAATTTTTGTTGAAACCTGACAAAATGGCTCTTCCTAACACGTGATAAATACGTATATTTTGACACGTTGGTGCATGTAATGTTACACGTGTTAGTGTATGTTACTTGTTACCTGTTACATATGTTGGCATGTTTAGTGTTACATATGTTACGTATTTTTGGTGCAGATGTGTTACATCTGTATGTTGCTGTATGTTACGCGCTACATGTGTTCTGTAGGTTGCTGTATGTAACAATTTACACGTTTTATGTATGATGTTGCTTGTAACATTTCAGATGTAGGGTATGCTGGTGTATATTATGTGTTTTATGTTACATTGTTGCACATAATCTGTTGAATATGTTATGAATGTTGGTATGTGTACCACATTAAAGATTTTACGCATGCTGGTGTGTGTAACATGCATATTTCATGTAAATTAGTGTATGTTACATGTTACATATGTTACGTGTGTTGGTGTACGTTATGTGATATGTATGTAACATGCTACATATCTTATGTATCTTGTTGCATGTCAGTTATATTACATATGTTATGTATGTTGGTGCATGTAATGTTACATATGTTATGCATGTTGGCAGAGAGTTATGCATATATGTCTGCAGATGCAGAGACACAAAGATATAATTTGGACTTAGCTACATTAGCCACGTAGCTACAGTACAAAACTAAAGAAGCATAGTTTGAACACCAAGCATGTCTTAACTGAGTGACTTCATTTGTGGTTAGATGAAAATTGTAAGGCTATGCTCTGACTAATGCAGGCTTATGGGTAGATCCCAGCAGGCCAGAGGACATGGGCCTTTAGTCCCACAGGCTCTAGCATTCCTTTCCCCTCTGTAAGCTCAAGTTTCTGCTGGAACCACTGATGTTAAAATCTAAAGCTAGACCAGCTGTGGATTGGATTCAGTATTTATTTAAATGGTTGCTTCATAACATGTGAAGCAAGCGACATTAGGCTGACATCTCCTCAACGTCTGAATCAATGAGTGACCTTATGTGATAGATTCTGTGACGCCAAATGCAGAATGATGACGTGTAGGACAGCAACACCTTCTTTAGACCAGGAGTCACGTTGATTTCTTTCCATGTGCAAGAGCCTTGGCAGAGGCATAAATAGAACAGATACGATCTCATTCAGTTCAGATTGTCTTCTCTGTGCCGTGTAGCTGTAACCTTGCAACACACGCATTTAAAAATATCTGATTTTATCACTGGGCTAAAAGTTGCCATAGAGATATGAATGAGTCAGCATTCATTTCTCAGCTAAAGTATGACTGTATTAATAATCCACATCAGAACTCTGAAGCTAACCAGAGAGGAAGAAATGAAACAGTCCAGCCAGCTGTATAATCTCTACATTTGATGAACAAGATGACTTGAGGTTAAGGTTAGGGTTAGGGTTAGGATTAGGGCCAGATGCCATGAACCTAATACCCAGTGAATATTACCCTGTATAAAAAAGCAAATATTGCCATAAATAGGCTGAGACATTATTATCAATTGTTTCACACAATGCTAAGCAGTGCTGGGGCTGCGTGCGAAACATCCAACCAAGAGTGTCCTCATTTGAATACGCCCCAGGGCCTGTACGTATTGTCAGGAAGGTGAAGTCAGAGGTGTTTATTCATGATTAGCATTGCATGGATTGGTAGATAGGACACCACTCTGTTGCCACTTCATGAGCTCCCTTTGCATTTTGGGTCTCTTATAGCTAAGTCAGTAGTTGGTTTTCTCAATTTCAGCCAGTTTATTCTGCCAGAACTGTGACATTGTTGGTCATCTATAGTTCATCATTACAGCCAAGCTTGCTAATAAACACTAGAAGTCAACAGGCAGAATATTTTTTGCAAATGCAGCCCCTAAAACTGCTCAAATTGTAGGTCACATATTTTTGCCAGCGTGGTTTACTACATCACAAACCTTCACTGTGTAGCTGAATGCACTGGGCAGCCATTTTAGACAAGTGTTGCTGAATTCTGGCTCCCCAAAAGAAATCCAACCCCTCTTCAAGGTCATGGACGTCATGCAAGCATGTGGACGCTAAATAACCTGCAGGATATCTGTTGTTTCTATTTATAAACATACACTGATCAGGCATAGCAATAAAACTACCTCCTGTTTCTACACTTATTGTCCATTTTATCAGCTCAATTTATAAAATAGGAGCTCTTTGTAGTTCTACAATTACAGACTGTAGTCCACCTGTTGCTCTGCATACTTTGTTAGCCCCCTTTTACCCTGTTCTTCACTGGTCAGGACCCCCACAACAAAGGCATAGGTTTGATTTTGATATTGGTGGGCACATAAAAGCAGTCTTACTGGAAGGCTTTTTGCATTTATGATAGACTTCTGACTGCAATTTCATGTCATCTAGAGCCTTTATTTATAGATATGGGAGCCAACACACTCAATATGTTAACCCCTTAAAATCCCAGGATTATTACATACTAAGACTTATTATTCAGTAACTACAGGGACTTCAATGCGATGCAAGCGGTTGAGCTAGACTTATTTTGTAGAAGTGTGTATTAAAACTTCAGGCTCGCCGGTGGGCCCTGGTCGTTAACTAACATCAAAGTTTAGCTTTCCATACTTCATGACAGAACATCTTAGCAGACTTTACTCCAGCCATAGTGCAATCGTCCACATATCTCATACATTATCATAAATAACACACTGATGCATGCCCATGCCATATGAACAGTGAGAAAAACATTTATGGCTTCAGCCATAACAGTGATACACACTGCACCACCATGCCACCAACACAACTAATATTTTTTGTCTTGTTGTCAAGGAGCTCTTAATGTCCACCTTTCTATACAGCACTGCTGTGTCTGATCCTCTCGTATCAGCACAACACACACTAACAAACCACCACCATGTCAGTGTCACTGCAGTGCTGAGAATGATCCACCACCCAAATAAAACCTGCTCTGTGGTGGTCCTGTGGGGGTCCTGACCACTGAAGAACAGGGTAAAAGGGGGCTAACAAAGTACGCAGAGAAACAGATGGACTACAGTCTGTAACTGTAGAACTACAAAGTGCACCTATATAGTAAGTGGAGCTGATAAAATGGACTATGAGCGTAGAAACAAAGAGGTGGTTTAAATGTTATCGCTTCAGTTAGTTCAAGACTAACAATTATTTATAAAAATAACAGAAATTGTGGACATAATCTGGAGGTGGATTCTGTGGGGGAGTCAGAATTAGTGCATATGAATGGGGAGTTACAATTCTTCACAACATCTGGTCTAAAATAGCGAAGTTTTGTTCATTTTTATGGATGTAGTAGTAGCAGTAGTACTGTAGCAGTCATACTGTGTCCTAAGCCACATCGACAAGTCTGCATGACCTTAAGACCTGGTTGGAACTTGAGGTTGAGAGAGACTTCAAGCAAGTATTAATGGAAACTACTAGTGTTTATTAGCTACGTGAGCCTCATAGCTCTAGTTTGGAACCTTAGGAGCCAAATTTGAACAGCAAACTTGTCCTGCCTGGTTGACTACTTTTGGGGTAAGTGGAAAACTGGGTAGATTTTTCTTTGAATCATTCCTGTATATTTGAATTCTTATTTTTAACTAGTGCAGGTGAGCCAACTACTGATGCTATAATTTAAAGCCTATAAGCACAAGTAACACTGTTAACTGGCAGCAGAGTGCGGCCGCTAGTGGTCTGGCGGCCCTGGGCCTGCCTATGCACCAGCCTGCACATCATTACCAATAAAAAAATCAAACTTACCAGGGGCCAAGTGTGATGCTAACTGGGACACGAGTCAGTAATTTTTAGCCCTATTAGCATTTTTGGTGAAAGATTCGTTTAATGTACGCTTGGTGTTTGATTATTTGTGTGTCCTGGGGAGCAGAAGGGCAGCTGTCTGGGGCAGAAGAAGGGATCAGGTCATTTTGCCCCATGCTGAGGCCACCCTGCCCATGATTTTAAGAGAGATCAGAGATAGGGAAGATAGTAGACTGCCAATTTATCAAGTTTTAAAGAGGCTAAATGCTCTCCAGAGAGTTCAGTGCTTTCAGTAAAGCAATGTATACCACAGGTGGCCCTACATTAATATACTAGAATTACAAATGGGCTTACAAACATGTGTTACTGCTAGTAGAACTACTGCAACATCAGAGGTTTGGACCCCTGAGGTATAATCAGTAGGGGATTATACATACACTTCTATCAAGATAAACCGATAAGAGGCTCATCAAAACCAGGTAGCTGGATTTGGAGTTAATACTACACCAATCTGTTACCATGTTGTACCACTAACACTGATGTCTGCTTATCTGTTTAGAGAAACAGGACACTTTATTTATTCATATTCTGAAACAACCCAGAGTCCAGTACTACTGACAACTAATGTTGGTAAACACCTGCCAATTAATGCTGGAATTCCAACATCATTGCACTCATGGAAGACAAGCAGCTCATATCTATTACTGTCCAGTTTTGGTCCTAGAGCGCCAGCAATTTGGTGACTTACAAACTAACCTGGTAACTCAATTTTTTTTGTTGAAATATTACTGTATATCGAGAAAATTCTGTTTAAACCAACCCAAACCATAGGAAATTCTGCCTGAACTTGACTACTGAGCTGGGTCTGACGTGTTGGAGGAGAAAAATCTGGACAAAGACTGTGCTGGACTAAGAACTTTCAGGGTCATAGCTGGACATCGCTCATCTATCTGCTTAAGTGGCAAAGCACATAAAACAAAGTCTGCTCAGAATGACCTCAAACCTAACTACACCCCACACCCTGTAGAAATACACTACAATGATGTTCTGTATGTAGACTGCTCTTCTCTCAACTATCAATTGCAGTGGATTCCCTCTTACTGTAAACTGTAGCCCCCAACCCCCCATAAATGCATCTCAATAGCCACTCTTACTGAAAGCTTATTAATATTTGAATTGTGAGTGAAGACACAGCCCAGAGAAACAAACCAAGAGACCAAATTTAACATTTAAAAAAATATTTATTGAAACTGTAAAAAAATAACTTCCTAAACATAATTTACAATTGCTAAATCATAAAATAAAACAATTCAAGCTGCAGTCATGCAACTAGAGGTGAAACTCGAGATAATGTACACGTTTGTTGGTAACACAATGACATTCCTCTAACAATGCACAGCAGACAGCTTAACTTGTCATTTTAAAAAAAAAAAAAAAAAAAGTTCAGTAGACTTTTCAGTACTCCATGCGTTGGAAAATGGAAGTGCTTTATAAAGGTTATTTACATATGTACACATCTGCTCAAAATGACCTTAAATATGATAAAAATATATTTAAATAGGTTGTGGGCCCTTCAGTGTGGAATGAGAATGCTGAACAAAATTGTTTCTCTATAAATAAATAAATAATTCCACTTAGTTCTTGTTTCAAGACATTCGAATAAATAGTATTTACATAGGCCTTGTCTTGGAATTTAGAGTCATAAGACATTTACAATATTCACAACCCGAGGAGAGAAAAAAGAAAAGTAGTTATTTCGTGTTGTAATTGCATTGCCGTGTGCATCTGTGACAATGAGCGGTAGCTGTGAGGGTTAAGGAGTCAGTATGAGAGAGAAAGAAAGAGGTAAGACCGTCGTTCTGCACAGGTTTTCTGAGGTTGTTTTGGTTACTCCCTGCAGTGCTGGGCCGAAAAAGCTGCTGCACGCAGGTGAGATGGAAGCAATAGAAATGACATCTGGTTAAGGAGCAGAGTGGTACAGTGGCTATTACTCAATTCAAGTATTATTTCCAAAACTCACACAGAAGGCACTAAACAATAGCTCCTCCCTGACCGCCTCCACAGGTGCCAGAGGACAGAAGCTACTCTCTTTCAGTCTGTTCACAGGCATGCCTTTTCTCTTCATCACACGAACCGCTTCAAGTTTGCAGAGGTCACCCCCTTGGCCAGCACATGCATTTCTGCGCCTGACTTGGAGACCAGCAGAGTCATTCAGTTCCTGCACAGTCAGACTGGGGTCCTGAGCCTGACCTTCACCAGGAGGCAAAAACTCTCTGGAGTGGGAATTCCCTTCTCCGAGATATGAGCTCATGGCCCATTCTTGCCCGCACCACCCATTAGCAGCTGCCTTTGCTTAAAAACAAAACATTTCACATTTTAACAAAACAAAAAAAATGTTTGTTTCCTGCACTGCTCAGTCCAGACGGCAGCCGCCAGGTTGGCTGATGTAGTGTGTTCTCTGTAGGGTGTATTTAGGGCAGCGAGAGTCATTTGCACACTGCGACTGGGGTGAAGGCAGCAGACTCGTGGCTCAGACTGTGCAGCCGGATCTCTGCACCATCTGTAGGGGGTGTGTTGCTCTGCATCCAAGGGTGGTTGATTATGTCTTCGAAAGACGGCCGGTCGGCAGGCCGCGGGGAGAGACAACTTTTGATAAGCTGCTGGCATTCTGCAAATAAGAGGGGGGGAGAAAGTCTGTAAGTGACTGCAGAGATTACTAGACAGTGGTCCGTCAATGCAAAAGCCTTTTAGATCATAGCTGGTTCTTTCAAGGACCTCACCTGTTGAGATTCTACGCCTGAAGAGCACTTGGCCACGGACAATCTCCTCGTCTTGCTCAAAGGGGATGTCTCCGCAAACCATATCGTACAGCAGGATTCCAAGAGACCACACAGTGGCAGACCTCCCATGGTACCGGTGGTATTTGATCCATTCCGGAGGACTGTACACACGTGTACCTACATTAAGAAAGAAAGAAACGGAAAATATTAAAGTCTAGTCAGGAACACTTCAGTACAGCTGCAAGTCACCATGTCTGAGACATCAGAGCAGAAACAGGAACTAGGTGCTTATAGTAGTTTGAAAAAGGATAAACACTAATAATAGTAAGAAGGTGGGGCAGGAAGGGTTTGCGGCTGTGTTTACAAAATACTACTATAGCACAGTTCAGGTTAATCTGTGTGATCATGTGCCTGGTTGCGTGACAGTAGGCAGGGGTGTAGACCGGTTGCCATGTGACTTGTGTTTACAAACTTTGAGTTGTAACAGTTCCACTTGTGACCACAAGGGGCGCTAAGAAATAACAACAAAGCTCCCGCACCCACTACAGCGCGCCAAGACGGCACAACCCACCACAAATACAGGCGTGTTGTCTGTCAATTGAGTTCTAAAAGGTTCTTTACACCAAAACAAGACGGTCGGTTTGTTTTCACGAAGAAAATATTCTCAGTCGCATGTCTAGTATGTGTGAGGTAATTTATTTATTTATTTTCAAAAGTGATTCCCCACCATTCCACTAAAATTCTCACTCAAGGTCAAACCCCCAGAAACTACTGATCCATCCTTAAACCAAACGCACCTTTAATTAAAACGACAAGCATAACTGGACAAAAAAAATGGATTTTTAAGCAAGCTGATCGAATAGCGAAAAGATAGGATGACCCTGCCTCGCCCCATTATTAAACACATTAAGTATATAGGTTATATAAAGCCACAGAAACGGCTCTTACCGTCGAAGTCGGTGTATACGGTGTCCTTGAGAAGCGCGCCGGAGCCGAAGTCGATGAGCTTGAGCTCTCCGGTCCGCAGGTCAATCAGGATGTTTTCGTCCTTGATGTCTCGGTGCACGACGCCGCTGCTGTGGCAGTGCCGCACCGCCTCCAGCACCTGGCGGAAAAAGCTCCGAGCGAGCTCCTCGGGCAGAGCGCCTTTCTCCGTGATGAAGTCGAAGAGGTCTTTGGCGTTCTCCGGCCTTTCCATCACGATGATGAAGCTGTCCGGCCGCTCGTACCAGTCCAACATCTTTATCACGCCACGGAAGCCGGTGCCCACCTTCTTCAGGAGGACGATCTCCATAGGGACGCGGGCTCCACCGGGCTAAAATATAAAGTTGCGCATTTTAGCCTCGATAAAAACAGCCAAACATGTTAATTTGACATCGTTTACTTCATTCGAGCCTTAAATGAGTGGAAATCTTACCAATTCGCCCCATTCAGTCACACGGTCCCTCGCCACATGCTTGATAGCAACCTGAAATAGTAAACAAAACGTTAAACCTCTGTCGGGCTCATTCGCCCTTTCCAAGTGTGAGATAGTAACTTAATCGTATATAAGCAGTCATAATTATACGAAAGCGAAAACATTAAGGCAGGATTTACCATATAAGACGAAACTATTTTAAAAAATGCTGAAGGAAGGAAAACCTACCGGCGCGCCATCAGCTATCCGTAATCCAGCGTACACAGTGCCGAAGCCTCCGCTTCCCAACACGGAGCCGACCTGGTAAACCTTCTCAAACGGCTCCTTCTCCTTCACTGTAAACCATAAGCAGGAGAACATAAATGAATACAAACGATACACTAAGTTTTTAAGAAAAAGCCATGTGTAAATTTCAAAACAAGCTAGCCGGTTTTCCAACCGCCCTCGTCCGTTAGCCAGTTAGCTTAGCTATCATGTCCGTCGACGCCACGCCGACTAGAAAGCACAACAAAAAAACCGTCCTCTAACCTTGATGGACTTGAAGCTGGATCTTCGCGGGCATATCCACGGCAGAAATGTGGGCGAACGTGTTCAATTTGGAGAGCAGCATGTCTTTCTTTCGTCTTCTTCTCTTTTTAATCCGTGACTCGAAGAAATCCCTTTGCAATTACTTCCAAATCCAAACGTGGAGGGTTTTTTTATGGAAGCCGCTGGGAATCCACGTTGTCGAGCAGGGAGAGAAGACGAAGGAGGCAGCAGCACGAAAATAACCTCATCTAGGTCACAGATCCGACTCAGGTAGAACTCCGAACGGCGGTCCGAAGCCCAGAAACATGTAATCAAATCGGTATAAAAATAAACAGAAACGCTGAAGAGCGACAAATCTTCGTCTCCTGAGCGCTGCTGACAACACAGAAACCGGCTTTCTGAATCGTAAAGGAGGGGCACCGAGAGTTTTATAGCAGTAGTAGTACTGCGTCATTCTGCGTTTCGCCCACTGCCGGCGACTGACCAATGAGCGGAGAGCCTGGCTTTGCACAGACACGTCAATCAAATATGAAAATACGGCTTGGCTGGACGACGTGGCGGGAAACAAAACGCGCCAAATGTTCACAAACTCTCATGGGGGGGCAGTAAGTTCATACCAGCCTGTTTTTTTTGTTTTGTTTTTTTTGTTTTGTTTTTTTTTAATTAATACCGCCAAAAATGGTTTGTTTTCGAATGAGAACCAGTTTCTTGCAAGTTATTCTCCAAATATATTTTACTTTACAAACAAGTTTTCTCAAACAAAGCAAGTTGCATTTTTTCAATAATAGAAATGTATTCTGTTTTGTTTGCATTGAAAAAAAAATCACATGGCATTGTTTACATCAGTGCTTTAACTGAAGGGTGTCGGTGTAAATAATGTGTCTTATGTAATTCTGCCACAAAATCACAAAACTCTGGTAAAAAAATACCCAGACATTGTTATTGCCCACATCATGGCAGTCTCGGACATTAAAGCAAGTCAGTTTCCACTTGCTTTGGCTATTGTTTTTGTATTGTAAATATATATATATATACATATATATATATATATATATATATATATATATTTTTTCAGGGGGGTGTCAATGAAGATCTGTGCCAAACAAAACCTCATTAATCTCAAATTAGAGCTCTGAAGGTTTATTCCCTCTTGGCGGGCCACAGGCTTTATTTAGACAGGGAACAATGGTGGTCACAGCACCAATGCAGGGAGGAAAATGGGCGCATACCAGGCATTCTTTCAGATTGGGTGGCCGTGTTCAGGCTCTGGAGCAGGATGTGGGAAACTGGAGATAAAAAGACATCCATTTACCCCCAACCCCCACCCTTCTCTTGTGTTTTCCCGCGCTTATTATTGTTTGAATGGTAAATGCACTCTCTGCCCTCTCCCTCGTCCCCACTAACCCCCTTCCCTGCTTGTGTCCGCCCCCAAATAAGGGAGACTGCTTTTTCTTAAAATAGCCCCAAAACTACTTCACTATAAGTTGCTTTGTTGCTAATTAGCCTGGCTCACACTCGGTTTCAGAAGCCCAGATGCATCTTCTTCCTTTTTTTTCTTCCTTTTTTTCCTGACTTGAATTCAACCACCTCAAAAATGTCAACAGGCTGCGCAAGTCAGATCAAACGTTGGATCTGAATGATTCATAACAAGGTTGGGCCGAGCTGCGCTGCTGAGTAATGATCTGTTTTTGGAACTCACTCAGCATCCTGTTTTTGTTCAGTTCGGCTGCACTGACTCACTCTCTGCTGTGATGGTCGAGCACTGAGCTTCACTGCAGACACACACACACACACACACACACTCCACAGGGGACAATCACAAGTGCAAAATTCATATGGTGCATCTGACTAATCGTGCTATGTTCCGTTGTCTGTTGTGCAGGGAAAACAAAGGGGTCAAAGACAGCATCTATCTATCTATCTATCTATCTATCTATCTATCTATCTATCTATCTATCTATCTATCTATCTATCTAAATAAATAAATACTTGTCTCTGTTTTTTTCTTCTCTGTTTCTGGCAGCAGTATGTCAAAATTTTTAGTCAATAACTCAAAATAATGACTTATTCACTCAAAATTTTGACTTAGTATCTCTAAATAATGACAAAATATTGTACACTATATACTAGATACTATATCGAAGGTACTACTGTGTCAAAATAATGATTTATTATGTCAAATTATAACATTAAATTTCAAAAAAGTGTATTAACTGAGATAATAACTTACCTTTTTGAGATAGTAAGTCAAAAAGTTGAGAGGCGCAGTCATTATTTTGAGATAGTAAGTCATAATTTTGACATGTCATAATTTCTAGATACTAAGTCAAAATCTTGAGACGGTAAAGTTGTCATCTTGACATAGTTCTTTATTTTGACATAATAAGTTTTAATTTTGTGAAAATAAATAATTATTTCAACATATCAAGTCAAAATGCTGGGAAACTTGGTTATTATTTTGAGATTTTAAGACAATATTTTTGGGAAAAAAATATTTTAGCTTACATAGAAAGCATAGAAAGCACAACCAGATATATTTATTGCAAATAAATAAGTAATACTAAATGTAAAGGCAGTAGGACAATACTCTATGGACTACTATACATGCTAGAATGGACTGGGCAGCTTAGCCTCCGCCCTGTACTTCACTCCTGATTGCTTGGGAGGAATAATCCTGAGGCCCTCTGTAATGGAGAAGCAGTGGGGGTGGGAGTGGGGGGTTGACACAACCATCACGCCTTAAAGACCTGTGGGCTCTTCTTCAGCAGAGAACGAGAGAAAGAATGAGTGAGTGATAGCCACACATTGCATTGGCTCATCTCACAGGTAGCGTTATCTCTTAGCCATGCTCCTCCACGGATAACGACAATCCAGCTGCCTGTTAGAAACTCTGACCACACACACGGTTCACTGCCAGGAAAGTCTCAGTGACACTCATGAGGTCAGAGTAAACCCACTCACAGTCATGCTGCTCTCCACTGTCACCTTTGCTCTAGAACACATGATTCCCACTGACCACTAATAGACGTCTTATTAGCTCATGCACAGCGTTAAACTCCTATTAGCCTGCAAAATGTTTTCATGACATAATACTGCACTGAACACATCAACTCAGTGTGTTAAAGTTATGTTGGGCAGAATACTTTAAAATAGAAGTGATGTATACTGTCCTAAATGTGTTCATCACATTACATAAAAAGTAATACATTCAGAATATATTAATGATACAGTTAGAATACAAATTGATAAAGCACATGAGAAAAACTCTGTTGCTGTAATTTTTATTTAATTCACTGGCTGTTACTGGTTGGCAGTTTTCTTCTTGTAATTCTTCTGTTAATATGCTGCGTGTAAAATGCACTTATTTCAGTAAAGTTACAAAATTCTTAACATTATTTTGGCTTCAGTCCACTACTGCTCCCATAATCCCACTGCTGTCTCAAATGTGACTATAAGTAGGTAGTTATGTGTTTTTTAGTTGTGTATCTAATCATCATCACAATGATTTATGAGTCTACTCAGGTCTTAGCTGAGCTCAGTATCACAGAGATTAATAACTGATCATCACATTGATTTATCAGTCCACTCAGGTCTTAGCTGAGCTCAGTATCACAGAGATTAATAACTGATCATCACATTGATTTATCAGTCTACTCAGGTCTTAGCTGAGCTCAGTATCACAGAGATTAATAACCGATCATCACATTGATTTATCAGTCCACTCAGAGCTCCATAACACTGAGATTAATAACTGAATCCTCTTTCCATGAAATTCACACAAACAGGCCCTAAAACACATTTTAAGAGATAAATAACAATAAATATGATGAAAGTACAAAATTTGTAATATTTAGCTCTTTCAGTTTACATGATTTTGAGTATTAAAATATCTGATATTAAGTATCCAACTCAATTTGTAATTAAAAATTAAGCCTGTCTTGCTGTGTTTCAGAGTTTTAGCACTCAGCATGAAACCAAGAGGACAGAAAATCAATAAAAACATGTCCGCTTTATGCTAATCGTTTATTTTCACTCATAGTAACCAATAGAATGAATCACCTTCAAAATTCTTGCAGCTCACAGACGCTCCAGACTAATAATTTCTGAAAAGATATCTACAAACCACTTGTTTTTAAGATATCTGTAAGTAATAAACTATAAAATTAGGTAGGCGCTAGATAAATTTGGCCAAACTTTGGCCAAATTGAAAAAGATATCAAATTTCTGTTAGCATTTACATGTCAACTAACGGCATATCTGAGTAGTCCAGCATCTCCTGAAAATAACAACATAAAGCATGTGTGACTGTAAATCATGTCATGACTGCAGTTGTAATTGTAATTGACCCAAAATACCAAAATCCCCAAAATGCTATGGTTCTAAGGGTTAAAGAACCACTGCTGGAGAACCATGAAGAATCTTTCAGTGGAGAATCATTTTTGTAAAAGAGACCTGTGATTGTGAAGACTCTTTGTAAACCTTGAAGAACCTCCACACAATATACATGTTGCATATCAGTTAGAGGTACGTCTAAGCCAATGTACGTCCGAGCCGAGAACCATTTATAAAGCTTTTTTTTTTAAACTGCAAGTGAGGCAAGAATAGGAAGAGAAGAGAATGAAAAGTCAGAGCTAATTTTGAATACTGGGTGTCCATATGGTTGTCATGTGTGTGAGTATCTCTGCTCTGCTGTCAGACACCCTTTCCACTGTGTTAAATATGAAGCCTTTGACATTTTCCTCAGGAGGGACAAAGGTCTGTTGCAACAGTCTCCTCGGGCACTCCGCCAATAAACACACCTCTTTTAACACCCTGACCCCATTCTACCACCCGAGGATGACAGCGACACTCAGGTGTGACCCTGCTGGATTTACAGTGGATTGCTTCACCACTTGCTGCAGAGGAACACTCGCCTGCCCATCACTCAAGAGTTACGGCCCATTGCCTCTGCAGCTGTTTCTCACAGGGTGCTGCTTTTTAACAGGTGGATAGCAGGAGGCGAGGAGAGAACGAGTGCGGGGACACTTCCCCCGTCCTTCTGAAGTGCAGAGAGCACACAGGCTGGACATAGACTGTTAGAAATAAAGGTTCTGGGCAGGCACATTTTTTTTATGAAGGTAGAAACAGTATAAATGTACCCTCAAAGGTACAACAGTGGTTTTAAGGTCCAACTGTGTGCCTTAAATAGGTTTTTCTCAAGTGAAAGGTACGTAGACATTTTCATAACCTAATGTTTTGTGGAAAGTCAATACAACTTAAAAAAATATAATTTCAATGGTATATAGTACAATTATGTTCTCTGCCTAAAGGTACTGAGATGTACCCTTGAGGGAACCACCCCAGTGACCAGAGGGGCACTGCCCTGAGTGAGATTTCCGTACCTTATTTTTGAGAG